AATCATCATTTAATACACACATATGTCTTGCTATGAAACGAGACATGCTATAATTTTCATTTATCACGGAATATTTTCCTCACAAGAATCGGCCTGATTTTCATCCACGAAATAAGTTCTATTGTGAGTGACGGGATATGATCCCTAAAAATCTTCTATAAGTTTCTTTTTTTGCTTCTAATACCACATCAAAAAATTTTCTTGATAAAAGTGAATTGCTGTTTATGCAAAAAAGCATAATAGTGGTAATAAAATTAAATTTGCACAATAAAATTGTTCATCGATTTGTGATCTCTGAGTCAGATACAAATCAATGATTTAAAAGGTAAACAAAAATATTTTCAATAAGAAACATATTGTATTCCTTTAGGAACAAGATCACATTGTTCTGAATTTCTGGAACTAATCAGTGGTGATTAATTGTCATCGTCGTGGTGATATAAACGTAGCCACGAAAGAAATTATCGGTAATAGCAAATCAGCAGCCTTGGTTTTGTTTTTTTTTTGGTTTCAATTTATCTTCTTTGACACCCTGTTAATATTAATATGTTTTTTCAGTTCCAACATTGCGTGATCTTAAGACCATTTTAAAACATTGTAATAGCAAATGCCAATGTATCTGCCAGACTGTCTATCCACATACCAGTAGTTAAGTAGGTAAAAACTATCATATATGACTTCAATGCTAGGATATTCGCATCTTCGAACAAACAGGAGTCACTTTGTAAACTCTGATTTATCGCCTCTTTTACACGTCCTTTGTTCCTGAAGTATTAAATTTTCGTCAAAATCCTGAAACGGTAGGTATAGTTCATTTCCACTAACAAACGCTAGTGATATCTCACTTGCAAAATCTTTTGCATCATGTCTCATAAAATTGGTCATCCATGCATTCTGAAATGCTGATCAGTGGATGTTAAAGGTTAAAGGTAAGTTACAAAATATCAAAGCGCATTATAGATACGGGGTTTCCCCCAAAATTTAGACATTATTTAGATATAAGGTTTCAAACTATAGGTGTCAATCCTGCACGAACAACATTGTCACTTGCTGCCATACATTCTATAATATCTGAAATAAGATGGATTAAATTAAAGCAGAAATGAAAATAAATATATTAATTCATATTCATATTCATTAATTTTACCTCCTGATAAATAGGCATGAGGTTCATTAGCTCCCAGAAAAATTGCTTGGCCAGGTTTTAATTGTATATAGTT